ACTAGTAAGACAACTAAAAGGGCAATCCCTCATTTCTTGGTTTAGTTTTGGCAAATTTCAGAAAAAGTAGGAAATAAGAAGAGAAAATGAGCTCTCGCTTTGCCAAATGAAAAGTTACACAACAGAATCAAACAGCTCAATCAACATGGGCCTCTGCATTAAAGCCCATTTTAGAAACAGGATATTCAAGTCAATATACACTGATTATGCCTTGAACTTTTCATTCAATATATTTTTATACCTTTATGACACACTTAGAGACCTAATGACATGTTGTCATTTAATCTCGTGGTAAAAAGAATATTAGAAAAACATGTATTTATTAAATACGACACAAGGATGCCTTCTCTTAAAACTGTATCAAAAGAGTCATTTAACTGTTCTTTTGCCGAAAAGTAATGAGCACTTTAAAGGACCAGGAAGTATGTGTGACTTGTACTTTCCCGAGCTGCATACCAGAAGCCTACATGCACAAGCATGCACACAAACACCTGCACACATCCACACACGTGTGCTTTCACTCATTTATTCCACTGCTGAACTCATTGTCGCTCTGAAATATCACATCAGATGAACACCCAAATATAACTGTCCTCTGAGCATCAACAGAAATGCTGATTTACCGAGCTGCTCAATTGACTTGACGGGTGGATTTGCTTGAAGCCATCTTGGGAACTGTCGCTATCATTTGCAGCTAAATTAGAGCTGTGTTAATGACAAGCTCTCGCAGGCCTCATGGCCATTCAGTCAGACTACACAGTGGTGATATACATCCTCAGAGGTCACGAAACAAGCTGCCTTTTCATGAACAACAGCATGTATGTCATATCATACATTCAAACACTGTTTGCTCAGGCTACAGGTTTTGTTTTCTAACCATGTAAATCCTGGATTGCCCATATCACCATTACGATTTCACATATAGTTTTGATTTGTTTAGCTTTATTAACCACTGTGAAAGAAATCCCTTTTTTAATACAAACTATTCAACTGAAGCATCGACTGTAATTCAATTAAATTCTATGGCTGCAATCAATAGTTGATGAATTAAATGAGAAAATTCTTTTTTGGTTTGAGCTTATAAAATGGGATGATTTGATGTTTTTCTGTGTAAAGTGAAATATCTTCAGATTTTGGGTTGTTAGTCAGACAAAAAAAAACAAGCAAATTAAAAGATATCACACATCTTTATCTCTGTGAGGCATAAGCCTGGAGGCGATCGTGCGTTGGGCTGTTTGTGTATCTGTCCACAGCTAAACTCGCCTGCTACTCGACCCATCAGCCTCATATTTTTAGTTCACATTTATGTCTCTAATGTATGATCAAGGACCTCTCGTGGTTGGAATGATTCACTTATTTTTGAAAAACATTTTATTGACTGCTCTGTTTTATACCGCCATTGGCTGCGGACTTCTCAATCCTCTTAGCAGGCCTGTGGGGGCCACAAGTGATCAGCAACTGCTACAGTTTGGAATCGTGTTTATGCGAGGGACAATGTACAATTGTACATGTTAGTGTTGGTGGATCCTTTTGTTGGCATTTTTATTTTGAAATTGACATTTTACATTGCTGGTGTTTTGGAATTGTCCAAGATTTGTCTCCATATAGCCTGTCTACTCTGGTTACACCTTTATAATGAAACCTGCATATTGACTCCCATTCATTCCCTACTCTCCTGCATACATGCTCACCCACATGCCCCCAGACACACCTGGTGGAGATCTGCCCTTTACTGAGTGCATTCTTCTAGTTTATCCCTGCAACAGCTCGTTACCCAGGGAGACAACGGAAGAAAAATAAGAAGCAGCAATGTTAATAACAAAGCAAAAACAAACAAAACTGTATGCTGAATTCTGATAATATGTATATTATGTATGTAACACTTATGGACAGTAAAATATCTGTACAAAAGCACAATTACAATAGTACTTACTTCACTGTTGTATGCAAACAAAGTACCAATTACTAATTATTACATCATTGATACATTTTGAGGAATAACCTGACAAGATCTTCTGAAGACTGTCTCTAGTGCTAGTAGTTTTGGTAGCATAAGGCAAAGAGTGTAGCAAACAGCCCTCACGGTGGACGTGTGTGAACCTGTCCAGTCCAACTTTCCAATAAATTCTCCTCGGCTGACTGTACTTAATACAAGAAAGAGTGCAGCCGGTTTATGTGCTGTTTCCACTTTGCTTTGTCCTGGTAACAGGCCACTTAACTTCATCACATAATCAGAGTGGTGGAATATTTCTGTCTCCTCTCTGAGTGGGAAGCTGACACCAGAGACATCTCTTTTGACAGTCCACAGTGAATCAGCTGCAGATTCATTCTCACATGCAGTAATGGTCTGTGGTGTGGGAGCTCAAACTGGTCTTACAGTGCGCTAAGTGCAAGTGGCTGTGTGGATTGTGCACCAAGAGACTGTGTGAGTTGCAGAACTGAACTAAAGAATGTAGGAGAATGTACAATTTCTGCACTTGTCTCGCAACATGATATAGGAAGGAAATGTATTTTTAGAGATGTCGAAAGTGCACTAATGACTCTCTGGCTCTGCCCGAAGCTCAATGACTGTTGACGCCATCGGCCACTTACAGACTCAGATTATGGGTTTATATTTGCAGTGAATGCATTCAGAGCAATTATCATGGAAATCCAGACAATATGGCTTGTACTTAAAGTGACAGGTCATTTTGTTGAAGCAGTTTTATTGTTGCAAATGTACAACATCAACCGTCTCCTCCAGCATTAGCCCCAACAGATTCTCAACAATGTCAATGACAGCGCTCTGCTTCTAAACTCTATAAATGACAGGCACGAAGACTTACTGTTGGTATTAATTTGATCTTTGCAGTTTATGTCAGGGGGTCGGGAAACAGAACAAATTGAAAAGAGGAAAAATAGCTAAGGCACCTAATAATGTTGCTGGCTCTGCGTAAACTCATGAGAGAAGGAGTGACAATGTTTTTTTTTTCTTAACTAATGACAGAATTACTGTCCTAGTTTTAAAAGTGACATAAAAAGAAATGGAGCCACAGCTTGTTTTTAAAGGATGAGTTTGATATTTTGCCAATTCTCTTCGGCAGAGATATGAGAAGAATGATATCACGGTTCATGTCTGTATGGTAAAAATGAAGTTAAAGCCATGAGACTGTTGGAAATGGGGGAAACAACTAGCCTGGCTCTGTCCAAAGGTAAACAATCCTGTAAAGCTCACGCTATACCTTATCTGTTCAATCTGTCCATATGCCAAAAATGAATTTCCATTTTATGCAAATTTAATGGACAATAAAGTAACCTGAATCTGAATGAAGTGTAAAAATTAATGAATTTTTGGTTTTTACAGGGATTACGTGTGTGCAACTATTTCTTGGCTGGGTGCAGTAAATTCTTAGATTTAACATGTTAATTATTGAACTTTAGAGGTGCTGCAGGCAGACTTTGGACACAGCCAGGCTAGCTTTTTATCCTTATTTCCAATCTTTACTGTTCAGCTAAGTTAAGGAATCAGAGGGGCTGTAATCTTCTCATCTAACTTTTGGCAAGAAAGCAAATAATCGTACTTTTCAAAATGTGGAACTGTTCCTTAAAACTACGTACTTAGATGTAGATGTAGTGGACAAAACAAGCTTTTGGGATTTTTTTATTTACTGCTTTATGAGTAATCTTTTTGATAAAATTGTTTAATTTTAAAAACACTGCTGTTTTTTTTTAAAGTGCAATGGCATGAAATAAACAGAAATAGTTGAAACATGTACTTTGGAGGTAAGTCACTGGGGGCACCTGCACAAAGCTCCACCCCACAGATGCCTATGGGTGCCAAGCTGAAATGGAGACCTGCCTCCAGGAGGAATGTTTACCCAAGCTTAGCACAGAGCCTTTATTGCTGTCAGCAGCATGAGTAGATTTCTGTCTGCATTTCACTTGTGCACCAGCACTGTGCCATTTCAGACTGGGACCTGCCCAAAATGAGCCCCCCTGTGATGACAAGAATAGCTTCTTTTAAAGACACGGAGGGGAGAGAAATTAACTGTGTGTGATGAAGTGTAAAGTAACTGTACACTGGGAGTGGAGGAAAGGCTTGAAGGAATTTGAGAAACGGGATTCCAGACATTCCTCAAAGTAAGGAACAAATTTGAGTTAAATAATGCATAAGGAGCAGAAAATTAGATCTAACAGGCTCATATATACTCCCAATTAACTTTGATAAAAATAAGAATACGAATGGATGAATGGATGAACAGATCACAAAAATCTCATATGCTGTAATCCAGCATGGAAACTGAACGATACACTGTGTTGTAACTGTATTTAAATGTTGGATTTTTCTACAGGCAGCACTAAACACTTTATTGGATTTTGGCTCTCAGTAAGGATGCATAATGTTGTGTCACACCACATTTTCAGGTGGTGTGCAGTTCACCATATGAGGAGCTTCATGTTGCACGTATTTCGAAAGAATGTGCAGCATAACCAACATTCAATGTAACCTTAATGCAAGTATTTAACAGTATTAATGAAGGAGATATGAGATTATTTCACTGTCTGTAAATCAGGAGAGCACTGTTGTGCTTTAAATTGTAGCCTACAGCAAGTTCATAGTGATATTGTAGTGATTCGATTTGATTGCATTTGTATCTAGACTATTTATTGCAGAATTATAATGACATAATTTTATATTGCAGCCTATTGAAAAGTAAAATAAAAATAAAAATATAATATATAATATAATATAATAAAAATAATTATTTAGCTCTTCCTTCTTTATGTAGTGCCACTGTAAAATATGTTAGGTTATAGCCTCACTGGAATCCTTTGTCCCCTAACACACCCTCCAAATAACCTGATCTTTAACAGACCAAAGAAGTTCCTGCTGTAGAATTTCCCAAACTAACGTTTGTGAAATAAAAGTAAATCTACTTTCTTTTGATGGATGTGGAGGTGCAGATGAATAACGTGAACAGCACATTTTCCCCTTCAAGTTAAAACGATGGAGGCTTTACCTTGTATGTGCTGGTTGACCACGTTCTCCAGCCGATCAAGCCTCTCCATGATCCGGATAGTGTCACCTCTTTTGTCCCCCTCTAACTTTCTCTCCGGTAAAGGCATCGGGACTTTGATGTAAATGTTGGCGATGTAATTAGTAACCCATCCGACATAGAGCAGGCAAACAATGTTGGTCATGCCGCTCAGGATCACGCATGTGGACACCAAAGTTTTGGTTCTCCTGGTGCAAGCCATGCCGACATCCCTCCATACAGCCAGCAGTATCCCGTTAAACCGGAGGACACGGCGACAGTCGCCCGCAAAACACCCGGAATAATGAAGTTATTTCCAGCGACTTTGCAGCGATGCAATATCCGAAGCGCAGAGTCTTTACTTCAGAAGTGCAGTGTTGGGTTTTTTCTTTTTTGGGGAGATGGTGAAAAGGTTAATGTCAAATATCTACAGGTGAAGGTTCCCTCCCTCGCTCCGTTGCAGACCTCTGTCGACTCTGGTTGCATCTGAGGATCAAGGAAACAGGAGAGACACCGAGCATCCTGCTGCAGCCAATGAGAGGGATGGTGAGGACTGACAGCCGCCCCTGCTGCACGCGTCCCCGCTGCGCACTGATTCACAGTCAAAGTGAATCTGACCGGACTATTTCCATAGACCAGGACACAAAGTGTTATAACCTATTTCTGTCCAAACAGCGACATATTTGCGCCACACTGCACATTTGATGTGTGATTTATTCCCCTTGAGCAGTGAGACAAATCCAGCTGAAGCGCAGAATCTCTGAGAGTTCTTCCTTGTTTTTTTGTTTTTTTCATAATCTGGTGCACCAGTGGAAAACACTTTTGGAGTTATTGCGAATTGCGATTCTATCTTCCAAATGAAACATTTAAGGAGATAGATTTCTTGCTGCGGTGCTGGATCAAGCCACGAGATAGAGACAGCGAGTCTCCACGGGAAATCAAGGTGTGGTGGGGTCATGTTATAGGTCTGGCTCTGGTCCAGCTCACTATGAGGCGCACAGGATGCAGAGAAGAGGATGCACTCATCATCTTATCATCTGCAATTAGACTTGTGCAAGGAAAGATACCAGGCAGGCTAATTACAGCAGAGCGGCTCAAACACTGCAGGCAGACTGAAGACCTGCAGCACTTTGACCTGGTGAGACACAGCAGTCATTTTTTACCAAACTGTAAATGTTGGTGTTGATCATGAACTCAACCTTTACTTTTGAGGTTGACATTGTTTTTGTGGCATGGGGTGATTATTGGATTTTAAATTGGGGAATTTCCTGAATTGAGGTCTCTATGTATTTGCATATTTCTGCAGGCGAGAAGGAGAATAGGGGCTCATTAAATGGTTCAGCAAAAAGGGGGAGAAGCTTAAAATGTGGCCATTGTGAAGAGGCTTTTGCCCATGTTCACTCTCCATGCACTAGTTCTCCTATTTGAAAGAGTGTAATATTCTCGGTACAGTTGAGCCTTTGGATTTTTGTGTGCCTGACAGCTGTTTCTTCTTTTTTTTTTCTTTTCTGTGTAACTGAGGTTGGTTGACCTGTCATTTCTTGCAAGTCCTCCTCCTACTCTTTAAGGACATCTTGCATTTGTCTGTAACTGAGGGTCCTTTAAAATGCACCTTTTGTCAAACAGCAGTATCTGAATGACTGCCAGGTCTTTTACTATATTTTCACCAAAATTCTTGATTGTGTTTTGACAGTATTATCCAGTATCGTCTTTGCCAGATGATTATTTGCTAATAACAGTCTTTGTCATCCAATCTGCCAGACAGCTACAACTCAGCAGGCTGCCAGAGTGAATGTATTATGTTCGATGATGAAAAAATAAATGCTACAACAATATAATACGTGAACTATTTTGATAAATGCAAGAAAGGCATCATTATGACACTTGATTTCACATATTTTTGCTGGATGACTATGGCATGTTTGTGAAGTATTTTAAGGAAAGACAACAACACAAACACTGACAAACTCTTTTGTCTGCAGTAATATCGATAATCATTGTATTTTCTGAGCAAAATGCAATTGAGTCGTGTTCTTTGAAAGAAATTAAAGAAATTTAGTTGACAACTGGGAATATGCTGCCATTTAAACCTGATAGCTCCAATGCATATCACTACACATTAAAAACATTAATAATTGTCTCTAATTTATTTTCTCAGTTAAAAAGCATTTGTGTTACATGATTTAGCCTTTCCTTCATAATCCAGATCAAAAGACAGACCGCCTCCTTTTGTCCTGTCTGATCAGCAGCAGCCATTTATGGCTGTGAGATGATCAATGCAGGAGCATGCTGCCCATTCATCTCAGCTAACAGACCTGCCACAGTGCAAAAATGTACTTTTATTCTAGTTTGCAATATGTGAAAGGTTTTCTGTATTTGCTAGTTACATGGCCATGATGAAAAAGTGTTTTCTTGCTTATCTTGTTCATTTGAACTTGAATCTTAACCCATGAGATTCTATTGAAAGTCAATAAACTGGAGGATTTTGTGCCCTTCAATTGCAGAAGGTACAGATGGTCTTTTACTGAAAGCCCATATAACAGGTTGAAATGCTGACTATGGACTAAATGGAGTATTATAGTATATAAGTATTTTTTCTCAGCCGAACATTTCTTAGTCAGTGTCGGTTATTTTCTTCATTAATCCATTAGTCTTTTGTCTCACAACACATCAAATGGTCAAAAATGTCCATCCCTGTCAGAGCCTAAGGTGACAAATGCTCACACTTAAGAAGCTGGAACCAAAGATTGCGTGAAATCTTTCCTTGAAAATTAACTTAAACGATGAATTGGTTATTGAAATAAGTGGGCATTCATTTTGTCGTTTGTTGTGGATTAATCAGCTTGTTTCAACTCAATACTGTGATAGAGATTTTTCTAAAGTTTAGATAAGATAATAATAATTGCCAGATTAATTGAAAATGGAAATAATCTCTGCGGTTTCAATGTCTGCATGATTCTTATTTCATTTAGTCATCATTTAAAAGTATTTTTTATGTGGCTATATTATGTCACCATATATCCAGCCATGCACCAATTTCCTCATACAGTGGCTCTTTCATGGCCCAAATCTTCACATTCAGATCACCTCAAATATGCATTTGAAATGTGAGCCAGAGAAATATTTCATTGAAATCTGAGAAACATTTAATTATTCTAATGAAATCTTGGGATAGGCCCTTGCACTGAGTTCAAATGGACTGTGTGATGCTGCTCAGACTGCAAACATGTGCATAGTGCAGATGAATACAATTAAAGTGGATTGAAATTATAATGAGAAAATTATATCTTGGCTAAGTCACCAGGCTGTCACACTGAAGGACCGATTCAAAGATTAGCTTTGTGGTACAACATGATGTATGAGTATCACTGGTGAGTAGTTTCACTTTGTTTGTGTTATGTATCACCCTGTTCTCTGTTTAAAGGGCAGCACTGAAAAACAAAGCTTGTCCTTGCGAGTACAATCACTCCAAGTCCCGGTAACACAAAGTGTTGTCATGAACACTACCTCAAAGCCACATCTACATTTAACTGACATGCCATAAACGCCTGCAGGTGTTAGACCTGCAACTTCTATCGATTTCTTTTGAATCGGAGCCAGCCTCAGGGACACTTTGAGGTTGGTATCAGTGGCCTATGATCCTCCCACTGAGTGATCCACCCAGCCAAGCAGCTGTCGCATTTAGTCTGAACGAATGGTCTTCTTGTGGGCTGATTAATTAGTGTGTGTGAGAGGTTATCCTATAATCATCACTGTGAGGTCCCAGAGACAAAGACACCACCACTCTACGTTCCTCAGCTGTGCAGGCAGCGACCATTAATCAACAAACTGCACACTCGACATGTAAGCATTAGGCCTCGTCAACATGGAAAAGATAAGCAAATAATTGTGATAAACTTTTAAAGCCTCTCATGAAATTATAATTTAATCAAAGGCTGTAAATTATAGAGAATTTTTTGCTAAAAATCTGTCCACACTGAGGCAAAGATTTTGGAAAATACTTCTCCGGCTTCAAAAGGTGCTGTTCTGAGGCTGACCCCGGATTGTCTCAAAATCCCCCATTAAATGGGAGAAATGGTTGACACAAATCCACCCTTCATGTGGTGTAGGAGGCTGACCCTTTACTCTGTGGGCGAGGGGCCGACAAGAAAAAGGAAATTTCCCCCGAGACACAGGATCACTTTCAATTAATTCATGTTTAACTGGTGCACACTGCTGATTGTTGCACAGGAGCCTGAAAAATACAATTAATTTGAGTTTTAAAAAATCTTTACACTATTGAAATATATAAACCCCACCTTGGTGCCAGGTGAGGCTGCTCCAATTTTTTTTGTGTAATTATTTACATGATTTGTTAAGTTTTAGCATTAGTATATCCACAGGTAGATACATATTTGTTTGAAGACTGTATCTGTATTTATCCACACACAGGATGATAAATACATGTACCAATGCACCTATAGTAATCTATACATGTACAACAGTAATTTATACATGTATAGAATAACCCAAATGTAACCCCTGTTTTCCAATTTATGTTTTTATGCAGGAACAAAATATCTTCCTCTTCATAATATCACACATAGACAATTGCAAGGTTTATGCTCTTATTTGTATAATGTATTACATTTGCACAAGAATTAATCGGATGCAGTTTTCTTCATGGAGAATACACAGGTGCATTCAGTTTCCATCTGACTTTTTATCACCTGCAGCTTGTTAAAGAACTTATATGGACTCAAGTACTCTTCGCTGCCAACAACTGAAGAGCAAAAATGATTAGAAATGCCTTTTTTTTTTAATACTGTAGACTAAGTTTTCTGAATATTTGTAGACCACATAATAAGGTAAGTAGCTGCTAAACTATATTTCCTGATGAGGACACAGGGATTGTGAGATGAGAATCACAGTTCAAGCTCATGTATTTATAGAGCTTTTCATTCTTTTTCACAAGTGTGTCTCAAAGGACTTCACAGAGAGAAAGCGTGAACCTTTCCAAATCTTGCTAATCATAATCATTCACATGACAAAATGAGGTGTTGTAATACATGATGAAACAAGTGAAATGCGAGGCAGAAAACAAAGTGCAAGAATCAGTATAGCCACACACGTCTGATTAATCTACAAGAGATGGACACAATATCACAGGTGCCTGTACAGTCTATAACAATCCAATTCAACAGTCCTGCAATAAATGCTGCCTTTTTGAATCTGTGGCAGACAATAAACATCTTACAATTTAATACATTTGCTGGTAGTTTTGTTGGTTTGTTATTCATTAATTTATTGTGTCATGTACCAGCCCACGTGGACTCTCCCACCAAAAAACATACTGTTGTAGTTGTGAAACATTTGTCAGACATGAACATAACTTTTTACATACATTACATTATATTACAAAAAAATTAAATAATAATCTGTCATATTCTGCAAATAATAAAAAA